GAGAGAGAGAGAGAGAGAGATTCCATAATTCAATGATAATGCAGTTATTGTAAATGAAATTTACTGGAACCAATCGGACTACATGTAATGTTAAATACCGCGTCGTGATGATGAAAGTGTATAATTACGCCATGTACGTTTCTTCGAATAATATGAAATATTATTTAATAACATATTGTATCTCTCGCACGGTGAGCGACGTTCGATTGCAATATCCATTTTTGAAAAAGGACCGACAAAATGAAAAATGTGACCAGCGTGACATTTGTCCGTGTTAATAATTAATTCTTGTTATACGCTTGCTTTTCATCTCGTTTGTATTTATCGCGAATAAACGAATTGTCGAATCTTTTTTCGCAGTGTCCCCACACATCTTCCCCGACCATCTTCTCAATTTTCCTAATTTATCCGTAACTTTTCCGACTCTCGTTCCCGTGGGAAACGAGTCCAGCTCGTCGCACGCATGAAACCGCGCAATTAGCGGAGTTCCTATACAATATAAACGATCGTACGACACGTAACATCGTAATTAGAGCCCCAACATTATCTTGCGCCGCACTAATCCTCGATATATACTTAGCTGAGGGAATAAAAACTTATATAATGATTTTGATTTCGACGAGAGCGGAAAGTCGTGGCGCTGGAGCGGAGTCTTTGACAAAAGGTGCCACGACGTACGCGGTAGATCCCCCGGAAGTGTCTCGCGTGCTTGCGACCGCGCGGAGGGCAACCCGCGAAAAGAGGAGGTCGCGCGCCAAGGACACCTTTACGGCGCTGCGCGGATGCGCGCTTATTTGCTGACGACCGCTAATTGGCAATCCGCATTTAGCCGGCACGTCGAATCGCGGTACGCGCGATAATGCACGCTTTGTGACGCGCTCCCCATTATACACGCCCCAAACCGTGACAGGCCGTATTACCTAGATAACGGTAACTTAATAGCATTTCGCGGTAACGCGACAGAGGCCACCTAACCGCCGTCGGAGAGCGCCCGTCACGGCGAACGGAAGCGGGCGGAACCCCGCGGATGAATGGGGTTGCTGTGTGTGCGCAGCATCTCCGGCGTGTTTTCGAAAGTTGGGAATAAGTCGGTCGTTTCGCTGCACTCTTCCACTCGCACATCGTAACGATCGTAGAAGAGTGAGACAGCCTATGTTTCTCTCTCGCTCGCACACTGAAAAAAATTTCTGGTTGAATATGGACGAATCAGATAATTCCTTTAGGATTTACCAGAATTCCTTTAGGATTTACCAGAATTTCTGTAGGATTACAGGAATTCTGGTAAATCCTAAAGGAATTCTGGTAAATCCTAAAGGAATTATCTGATTCGTCCATATTCAACCAGAAATTTTTTTCAGTGCAGGAATTTGGCGAACTCTTATGGCCAGTCTCTGATTACAGGGTCTCTAGCACCTGCCGGTGCGTCGGCACTCTCGCGTCTCTCCCTCGACACGTACGGTTCTCCTTTGAACAAGTCTCTTAAGGGGATGCTGGAGTGATTCCGCACTTTTTGCACCTTTTGCTCCTGTCAATTCATGATTAAATTCAGGATTAAATCAGAGAAGAGCATGATATCGTTGAAATTAGGGTTTAGCCTGTAACTTATTCGAGTGAATAGATTTTTTGTTAGGCTTCCAAACTTAATTTCAATGATGCTATGCTGTTCTCTCATTTAGTCTGATTAGCGGAACACTGTTGGCCTGCACACAAATGCCACATAATTTGTATATTACACTTTCACGAATTGACGGGTCTAGGAGCAAAAGGTGCAAAAAGTGCAGAATTAATCCAGCAACCCCTTAATTACTTACAAAATTATCGTTTCGAATTATTCGGCAACATTTACCAAGCGTCGTGAACACTTTTAATCTCATTGTCGTATACGTTAAACTCTTCTCCGTGACTTTTTCTTTATATAATCATTATGGATTATAGAATAATGATATTATTCGATACAAGTTTCATTTATCCGAGATATTTATCCAATAGTCTGGCAAGTTAGTCCGGTAATTACAGTTCAATGAAGCGTGATTCTCCGATGCAAAAAAAAATACTACAGAGCAGCGGGTAAATCGACAATTGCGACACGCTCAACCAGGGGGATGATTTCTTGATTAAACATGCGGAATAAATTTTCCTATACATTTTCCAGGAGGAACGTCTCGACGATCGGGGGTCATTACTCGCGTAATCGGTTTTTCCGAACGTCTCGTAAGAACAGAAACTTGCGATGTAGGAGGCTAAACGCGGAGCAGCCGGAAGAGGGGAAACGATTATGGCACACGGCGTTTACAGCTTCACCTCGACGAGGAAGCCTCGCCCGGAAGCGCTCCAACTTCTCCCCGCCACAGCCATAATCGTTTGCGAGGAATCGCTGGTAAATTACGGTAAACGGCAGCTCGGCTTAATGCACCGTACCGAATCGCGACGAGGATAACGCTTCGAAGAAACGGAACCGCGTCTCCACCGCGAATGCCCGCCTAGATGGCACGATTTGCATGCCGATGCGTCTTACATGACTGTTACCGAAGACAGGAACAATTGGAGAAAACACTTCTAAACACCATTCACTTTTTCGCTCTCTCTAATCCTCCTCACCCAAATATCCCCGTAACTTTTTATTGGAAAAGCGAGAATGAAATATGACGGTCATATAAATGAGTATTTGCATTCAACTCACTGACTAACGTAAGTCGAATAATTCTTAATGAGACGATTTAACTAATATCTGACAGTAATTGAAATATGATTAATTAAACTCGACTACAATTGAAAATCGTAGTGTTGAAAGCTTCACATGATTTTACATAATTTTGTAGACTTTGAATTTGCCGGTGCAAACTCAGTTTTCTGACAGCAACAGTCTTCCACATCGTAACCATTGTTACTTGATAAAGATCTAAATTGGGTCCTTATCAAGTCGAAAACGTCGTAAAATAAACAATTTAAATCTTGCCAATCTGGTCGACTACACCCGAGTCGAAATTTTGGCCCTATGTTGAACCTTTAATTCCACTATGTAGTAGGACCTAAGACAGTAAAAGAAGTCGGATTGCAAGTACAAAATTCTCGTACTTTAAAGCTGATAGTGTCAGAAATGTCTACTATTTCCAATTTAGCATTAAAGTAGGACCTTTTAAGTAGGAGCTAAAGTAAATTTTTAGAATTAAAGATTCAAGGGAGGAGTAAAAAAATATAATGCCATCAAAGTAGGTTATTGCTGGGTCTATGTGGGTGTGAATTAGCCTTAAAAGTGTGAAAAGAGTACCAAAATTTCGACCCGGGTAAGCTCTGCATTTTTGTTTGTAGACTTTCTCGTGACGCTATGAAAAAAATATTAGAGTTTAGAATCCTACAGAGGCAATTTGCAAGAATCGAGGCCACAGAGAGAATTTTGCACAAAATAATTCATATAGGTCTTGCGGTATTTTGTAAAGCTTATAAGAAAGACTGTTGTCGAAAGATAGAGAGATAATATATTAATGAAAATACGACGTGCTTGTGCGCCACTTGAGATATTCGAGAAATTAATACGGCCAAGTTCTCTTGCTCGAGCGCATCTGCATAAGAAT